GTTTTAAATAGAGAAAATGTAATAATGAACTGTAGAGGTAGTTAATATTTGCATGGAGTCTCATTTAAATTAACCATAAATCCCTAACAAATCTTGGTAAAAATAATTACCATCTTAAAGCAAATCAATACAACACATTGTAATATAATATTATTAAGAGTTGAACCCTAAAATATTGTTTTGTCTTACCTATATAGCCACCATTCCCTTTTAATCAATGCACACTATCTTGTAAGTAAAGCCCGTGTATTTTACCTAAAATTTGTGTTTGACTATTGCAAATTTGGTGATGGAGTGATAGAAAATGGTTGTTTGGAAGCCTTGGTTCAAGTGAGTCTTCAGAACAGTTCTGTAAACAATTAAATCTCTTTTTTGAGGTGAACAAGATACTAAATGACAAAGTCAAATTACAGAAATGTAAAAGAATTCTCCTTAGTATGTGCAGTAGGAAAGTTTATAAACTCAACTGTTGGCCCCAAATAAGCCATTTTAAAAGAATTATGAGAAATTGGTGAAATCTTATAAAATCTTATTATAACCCAAAGTGTTCAGTTATTGTAGAGAGGTTGAAATTTTGCATGAGGAATTGCCAGATGTGGGGGATCCATTTCAGATTTTGCAGTGGATTTTCAGAAGCAAAGAGTATAATTTTGGTGCCTTTCTAGACAACATCTTAAAAGAGAAATGTATTCTGGGAATTAATGATGACAGAATAATTGAGGTAGTTATTGGCTGAAAAAACATAAAGACATTTCAAGAAGTCTTTAATAGTGCTGTAGACATGAAATTGACATAAAATAAAATTACTGGACATCCAAGGCAAAGGAAAGACAGAAGTGGACAAAGTATATGCTGAAATAAGCAACTTTTAAATCCTAAACTTCATGTATCAAAAGGCCCCCCCGATAGGAGAAGATAGATTTGACCTATCATCCAGTTCACACTTCTCCCTGGTCTTTTGAACAGGAGTAGAGGTTTATCCCTGTTTTCTTGTTTGGGATTGGGTTTCCAGTTCCTTCTAAAGTCAAAATTTTAACTAGTTAAATCTTAACATCTTCAACTCTAGAGTTTGCTGTTAACTTTCCTGCATAGCCCCAAGAACTTCACCTCTTGTCCTTACTTATGTTAATACAACATCACACAATAATCCTGTACCCTGAGTGGCTCTTGGGCCTCATATTGGGTGAACATTAGTCAAAAAAAAATAACATAGAAGAATAAAAAAAAACAAAGCTGTTGTCCGTCAAGTAGAATGAATTAGTGATTTTGAAATTTCAGAAGAAATATGTTCTCTATATTGCACATAAAAATTAGTAAAGTAGAAAAAAATCTATATTATTTGGAATTTTGGGGGTT